AGTTTTGAGGTTAAGGGAACTACGTGGATATGCATGCACGGCCCAGAACTGCGTGAGTCTGTCCTGTGGGCCCAGAAGTACGTGAGTCTGTCCTGGGAGCCCAGAAGTACGTGTGTCTTCCTTGTAGGTATCGAATATCGATGCCGCCACACGTCGGGATGCTGGGCCAGGCCTGCCAGCCGCTTGCACACGAGGCGGCACGCCAAGAGGTCCTGCACGGGCAGGTGCGACATGACCATGGCCAGCACGTCGTCCGGCAGCTGCTCCATGATCTGTGGGGGCGCGCACACACGAACGGGACAAGTCAATAAACAGCTCTGTAACGAGATTGTACCAGGTGGCTGATTCACGCCCCGCATTTTCGTAGTTGTACTGTACCGCATGCACGGATGCGCGGGGCGGGCGGGTTTGCCTGTCCTCGCTGCGAGTAGGCACCCGGCCCACACGCGTGCATGCGGTACAGTACAACTGCGAGAGTGCGCGGCGTGAATCAGCCACCTGGTGCACACACTGACGATTTGCCCGAGATGAACCTACCTAAGGTGGCTTGGTGTGGTGGCTCTGACAAACAGGAGAGGCTTTGTGCTCAGAGCTGGGAGCTGGGCTGGGTATCCTTCCACCTCAAGTAGTGTCGCACTGAGTCGCCAGAAGAGGGCGCTCAGTCTGAGTATGAGCCTGCCGCCGAGCTCCGTGCCTCTCTGGGGGTAACCCCGCCCCGTCGCCAGCTACCCCGTGGGGCAAGCCCAGGAACCCAGGAACGCATGATACCGCTCGTCGTGCGCTACCAGGAAAACCCGTCGGGCTCTACACTACACTCCGGCCGGGGCCGGCAGTCGTAGTGCATCACTCGAGGTGGAAGAATACCCAGCTCTGAGGACGAAGCCTTTCCTGTTTGTCAGAGCCACCCAGCCAGACCCAGCCACTTAAGGTATGTACTTTAAACATCTCGAGCAAATCGTCTGCGTGTGTGCCAGGTGGCTGATTCACTCCGCGCACTTTCGTAGATATACTGTATCGCACGCGGTTCGGCGGGTTGCCTACTCGCATGGGCCATAAAGGATCCGTTGGCTGCGAGGATAGCAAACTCGCCCGCACCCGTGCATGCCCGTTCAGTGTGAAAGTACGAAAGTGCGCGGCGTGAAAGAGTAACCTGATACAAGGCCGTCACAGTGCCGTTTATTGACTTGTCCCGTTCGTGTGTGTGCGTCCCCATATAGCCCATGGATCCGCTGCCGGACGACGTGCTGGTCATGGCCATGTCGCTCCTGGACGTGGCGGACCTCTTGGCGTGCCGCCTCGTGTGCAAGCGGCTGGCGGGCCTGGCCCAGCACCCCGACGTGTGGCGGCATCGATGTATCGATGTGGGCCGTCTCTACGACACCACGTCGTGCCAGAGGCTGCGCCTGGCGCCGTGCGCGCTAGAGATCTCAACCTCTGTCCCTATGGAGCCCGCGGCGTGTCGCCACGGCGACCTGCGGACGACGTCTTGCGCATCCAGAGGCCTGGCGATCATCGTGCGGGATTGCGGGCCCGAGCACGTCGCGACAGCAGTCCAGATCGTCAAACAGCAGGTGGCGCTCGGGCGGCTGCGGGGCCTGAGTCTAGTCCTGGCGGACCGTAACGTTTTGACGTATGGGCATAGCGTGGAGCCCTCCTTCGTTCTGCCTGAAGACGCCGCGGACTTGCTGTTTGGGACGCTGGCCTCGACCCCCGGCCTGGAGCTGGTCAGTCTCGGCGGGAACCTGGGCCCCAGTGCACGGATCCCGCCCAGGACCAGTCATCTCGGCACCATCACGCCGTCCTTGAAGACTTTCCGCTGCGACCTGGTCCCCCGGCCAGAGCCCTTCTGCGACTACATGCTGGCCGGGCACGCCGCGACTTTGGAGGTGGTTCACATCGGCTACCGCCACGTGGCCTTGTCCTCCGAGCCCCTCGCCTCCACCTCGACGGCGCGACTGCTGGCCGGCATGCCCAACCTCCACAAGCTGAGCTGCCCCCTGATGCCGGGGCTGGAGGCGCTGGCAGCGTCCGCGTCGCTCATGGAGCTGGAGTTCACCGTGCGGCGGGTCACCGAGGCCAACGGCCACGGCGCCTTGGAGCTCCTGCGCCGCGCGCTCCAGATTCGCTCCCTCCACCTCTACTTCCCTCGACCTCGTCGAATAACTGACGACGATGAAGTTGACGACAGTGAATTCGGCGTGGAGCTGATTGGTGAACTCGCGTCGTCCGGACGCTCCCAAGTGGAGACGCTGTCCATTTACGTCGACGACTCGTACTCCCAGACCCTTCTAGTGCCTCAGCTGGCGGCCCGGCTGCCCTCGCTGCCCGCCCTGCGACGCCTCGTGCTCAGACTAGAGGACCCAGAGCCGCTGGTGGACGCCATCAGCCCCCTCACCGCACCGTCCCTGCGGCGCATCGATATCCTTGATGATGTATCTCCAAGTAGCATGTGCTCTCACGATTTTTTACACAGTAGTGAACTCGGTGCGCTTCTGTCGAGGAACCCCTTGCTTCACGTTGTGCTTGAGTACACCACCGAGGGCTGCTCCATATTCCAAGACGACGAGGATGAGGAGTACCTGATCGAGGAGAAGTGCGACGCTTGTCTACTGAACTGCCACAAAGATCTTGAGGTGCCTGATGGTATGGATGGCTTATTCGTTGGCGTTTTTGCGCACCCTTCAGGCAAATGTCCCTCCCCAGAAGATCACGATTCTGATTGGATTTGGATTGACATCAACGATGTTCAACCTGTGTATTGATTTATCATTTTTGTATCATGAAACATTCAGTGCAAATTTGACATTATTAATTATGTTCAGCGTTTCATCCAATGAATAAATGAATATTAAATTGCTGTGTATTTTTGGATGTATTTTTTCTTTGTTTGACCGACTTATTCTTTTAAAAATGAACACGTTTCAACAATGTCGCCGGCCGCCAGGAGGCAGCACTGGCTACTGTTCTGTTCAAAAATGGCATAAATTGATTGCATTTTTTGTACTTATTGACTTGCTTATCATTTGCTGACTGCTTATCAGAACCCTATTACACGGCACGTAAGCTCGTTTGACGCGGAATTTGGCAAGGAATGCGACAATGTATCCTAAAATGCGATCGGTTTGCTCATTCAGAAAATATTTTGGAAAATCTGAAAATACACACTCTAGCACCCCCAAACGGGTTTCGCACCCCCTGGAGAGGTAGGATATCGCACCTTTCTTTTTCCAGTGCGGGTTCGGTTGTTTCTTTCGTATGGGTGCAGTCGCACGCGGCCTTGGGGAGCAACGTTGCTCGGTGCTGAGCTCCCCGATGACGCTGGCGGCGCCACATCGCTCCGCGCCGGCCTGCCCCGCCCGGGCGCAACCGGAGACTCTGGTCATCCGAGCCAGAGTAAAGTCATCACTCTCCGCTCTCACTCCACGCCGCGCCCTCCTGGAGCGGGGCTCTCTGCGCACAGCGCGGCACTCAGCTGCGCCGCCCCGCCGCCACCACCCGATCGCTCACGGCTTGTCTTGCATGGCGTGGGACTGCAGCCTGATCGCAGTTTCACTCGCTGACTCTCACCCTTCCCCCTTTGATATTTTCCCCCGGGCCGCACCGCAGCACGCCGCGGACGACACGGGCGGGACCTCACCTGACCCGTCCCGTCCCCGCCGTCTCCCCGGGGCGGGGAGCAAACCCCTCTCTCTCCTCTTAATTCTAATTATTAACTTTGAAAGAAACTTGGGTCTCGGGCGTGCGTCAAAACTCGGCTTTTCCTCCTCTGTAATTAAGGTTGACTCCGGCCGGGCCGAGCTTTCATCCCAGAGTGCCCGTCCCGTTCGGGACCGGAGCGGAGCGGGCTCGTCTCGCAAAGCCTTGCCTGCCCGTGATAAGCACACCCCAAAAATGTGTTCTTCACATTACGATACCTCAGAGCGAGAACCGCTGAGTCTCTGCAGGAAAGCCTATTATACTGAGCGGTTCTCGCTCTGAGGTATCTATTAGTGAGTTTTGCGTGTATACTTAATTTTCTTGAGTGCATTTCGCTTTTGCAGGGTAGAAAGAATGCTATAACAAAAGCGCAATGCACCCAAGAAAATCAAATACACGTAATGTATACTAAACTCATCACATTTTTTATTTGGGGGGGGGGGGGTGAGACGAGGGGTGGCGCCCCGGGCGCAGCGAGGGAAAGGGTGGCGGCCTTGTCTACCTTGAAGCGGGCTTGATCACCTCCACCGTCCACGCCCGCGCGCCCAGCCAGCTGCTACAAGACACTTTTGCAGCCCGGTCAAAAACTCATCTCCTGTTCCTTAACACCACCACCACGGCAACGGTTGGTGACGCTCACGTTCAAAGGCAGCGGCAACACAAACTGTGCAAAGGGGTGGCGGTAATTACACACGATGAAGCAAAATAAAAACAAAGACAAACAGAAAGTGAGCGCGCGTGGACCCAGGTTAATCAAAACTTTGCTGCACGCAGTCAATGAAATATGCACTCTGCGAACAATGCAAAAAACAAACTTCTTCCGGCGAGCAGTGTATACACTGTATATCGTGGAGCGCCCAGAGGCCGTGGAGAGGGGCGGAGTAGGAGGGGAGGGGGGCGGGCCCTGGGGAACCTCCTAGGGTGACCAATCAACCCCTTTGCGTGAGAGGCGGGGAGCAGGGGAGAGCAGGGGCGCGAGGAACGAAAACTGATCTACGCGGCGACGGCGATGCCTCGGCGAGGGAGACGGCCACGACCACTCACTTGGATGCGTTTGGCTGAGGTGGGGCGTGGCGGGGCGTGGCGGGGCGTGGCTGTGTAGGCCGGCTGGGTGTGCCTCTCTGCCGGGAGGGGAGCAGCGGCAGGTTTCGCCCAGGATATCGGAAATCGTTTTACGTTGCGGGAGGGGCAGCTCTCCACCCGATGAAATGCAAGGAGTAGGCGTGGCGTGGCGCGGCGGAGTTGCCCGCGGGGCACAGCAGCTGCAGGGGCCGGGGAGGGAGCTCTCCCACCATTAGTCGCGATCACTGGTACTGGCGATGCTAGGGAAGGCCTCTTCTCCAGGGGGGCGAGAGAGAAAAGAGAGGGAGAGGGAGGAAGGGAGGGAGAGTGGGAGAGGAAAGGTTAGGAGAGGGAGGGAGAGAGAGGGATGGTGAGAGAGAGAGAGGGAGGG